AACTCGATAAAAGCTAATCGTAATTAAACCAGTGTCAGCCTTTTAAGCCTCATGAACCCCATGTTATATTCGTTGAGTACGACATATACTTACGCTTGCTTTCTTTTTCACATATTTAGAAAAAAAATCCTAGATTGGTACCAGATTGCTAGAGTTTGGAGAAATTAGGCGTGTGATCAACTAGTCAGTTGTCCTTGTGGATTGGAGTCTTCACTCGAAGATCGGAGTTATCTTTCCGCTGTTTGCTGTCTATGTTATATCATTTATACTAAGTACATTATATATTAAGTATTGTCTTTTGATATTACCCTTATTTGTAGTTATATGTGAGAAGTGAGATTTGACTTTCTGGACTCACATGTGGTGCATATCTGATTTTGTTCTTAAAACCGGGTGCTACATTTTTAGACATATTTCTACTTTCCAGCACACTAGCAGTAGGCAAGGAGTTAAGTGCAAGTCGCCAACAGAACACCTTAACTTTCGATGGCAATTTCATGTTCCATAGTTGTATCCATTCTTTTCGTTTTTTCCCAATATCTGAGCAACTAGCTCGACCTTCAAAATAATCCTCCTTGCTTTTCTTTGCCTCAATCATCATTCTATATGCTGAGCGTACAGTAAAGAGCCCATTTCTTTCATAGTGCCATGCCCAACAATCTTCTTGCTTTCTCATACTTAGTGGTATCTGAAGGATTGCTTCACTATCTATCTTAGAGAAAAAAAAACTCCTCAAAACATCAGCTTTCCATGTCATGGATGTATGGTCAATCAGTTCGCAACCATAACTTGGAGGATTAGATTCAATAGAGGGTGCAGGTTTGAATGCACCTGTTCTTGGTATCCAATTGCAGCCCCAAATCTGAGTGCTTCTTCCATCACCTATACGTTTGATCAAACCTTGTTTCAATACACCCATTCCATCACATATTGCCCTCCACGTTTTAGATGGGTTGTTACCGATTTGAGCATTTAGAAGATCTCTAGAAGGGAACGAGGTTGCTTTTACAATCTGGTAGCAAAGAGATGTACGTCTAGTGAGGAGACGCCATGCTTGCCTTGCTAGCAAAGCAAGATTAAATATTTCTATATCAGCCCAGTCCTCCCATATATTTTGGTTGGACCATCTTCTCCCATGCTACCCAACATGTTTTCCTTTTGCCTCTCTCACATCCCCACCAGAATTTTCGCAGCAAAGAATTTAGATGCTCACAAAACCCCCTCGGCAGCCTGAAGCATCCCATGGTATAAGTAGGTATAGCTTGGGCAACAGCTTTGATTAAAACTTCTTTCCCTCCAGCCGAAAGAGTTTGTTCTACCCAACCCTAGACTTTGTTCCAAACTATCCTTCAGATACTTGAAAGCTCCATTGGTTGTTCTACCAACATCAGTAGGCAAGCCCAAATACCTTTCCTTCAAAGATTCATTCTCCACATGTGTAATAGCTTTAATTTCATCACGAATAGTCTGCTTACATCCCTTGCTAAAAAAGATTGATGATTTTGCAAGGTTTACTTTCTGACCAGAGGCTTCACAATATTTAACTAGAGATTCCTGCACTACTCTTGCATTGCTAGCTGCAGCTTTGCAGAACAGGAGGCTATCATCAGCAAACAATAGGTGATTGATTTTTGGAGCTGTGCTCGAGATCTGAATTCCCTCAACAACGCCTTCTGCTCTCTCTCCTTTAATAACACTGGAGAACCCTTCTGCACATAGTAAAAACAAGTAGAGAGAAATTGGGTCACCTTGTCTGATACCTCTGGTTGGTTTAAGTTCTTGCAAGCATTCCCCATTAAATAAGACAGAGAAAGAAGCAGACGTAACACATTTCATAACCTTATCCACCCATAGACGACTGAAGCCCAACTTTAGCATTATTGCCTCTAAATAACTCCATTCTACTCTATCATAGGCCTTAATCATGTCTAGCTTCAAAGCACAGTAAGCATTAACCTTTGAACGATTTTTGCGCATAAAATGCAAACATTCATATGCCACCAGAACATTGTCAGTAATGATTCTACCAGGAACGAAGCTGATTGCTCCTCGGAAATGATATCCGGAAGAACCATCTTCAATCGCCAGTGCCTTGGATATAATTTTGTATATCACATTGCAAAGGCTTATTGGTTGGAATTGGTTCAAGGATACTGGATTTTGGACCTTAGGAATTAGAACAATGAACGTACCATTAATTTCAGCAGGTGTTTCATTTTCATTGAGAACCCTCAGCACCATTCTGGTCAAATCATCACCACAAATATCCCAGTTGTGTTGGAAAAAATGTGCAGGAAAACCATTCGGGCCTGGCGATTTAGTTGGGAACATCTGGAAAAGAGCATTTTTAACTTCATTTTCATCAAAAGGGGCACAAAGAAAATGATTCATCTCATCAGTTACCTTGCAGCGAACATGGTCAAGAACTAAATGCATATTAGATGTGCCCTCTGATTTAAATAAGTTACGAAAGAAATCCGCAGCCATCCCATGTAACTCATCCACATTTGTGCATTCAGATCCATCTGGTCGATTCAGCTTGACAATTCTATTTTTCGCTCTTCTTCTACTTTCTCTCTGATGGAAAAAATTGGTATTGCTATCTCCTTCACACAACCATGTAATGAGCGAACGTTGTTTCCACATGATCTCTTCTTGATAATTTAACATAATAATGCACTGAACAACTTTTTGTTCTTTGTCTGAAATTGTGTTCCTGGCTGGGTCAGATCTCAATTGTTCAAGTTTCTTCTTCAGTTCCCGTAGTTGTCGCCTTACAGCACCAAAAATCTTCTTACCCCAAGACCCTAATTCCTCTCCTAGATGGCATAGTTTATCCTTTACATCCTTTACCGAATTACATATCTGACCATCTTTCCATACATGTTTGATTAGGGAATTCAAACCCTTATTTGTCTCCCACATGAGTTCATATCTGAATGGCTTCCCCTTCCCATATACATACTCACTTCTTTCATCTGGTTCGAGGGAGAGGAGAATAGGGCAGTGATCAGACTTCACTGCCATAAGGTGATGGACCGAAGCAAGAGGGAAACAAGAACACCAGCTAGCAGAAGCCAACACTCTATCAAGCCAAACGCGAACAACGTGACCTCCTGCCACTTTCTTTTCAAAAGTCTAGTCCAAGCCCTTATAACCTATGTCACATAACTGACATACATCAACAGCCTCCCTAAAGCCCTCCATGAGATACTCCTCCCTAATATTTGGTCCCAACTGTTATTCCCTTCTGAGAATTTCATTAAAATCACCCATACAAACCCACGGTAAGTCTGTATCGCTTCTCATTTGCTTCATGATTTCCCAAGTACGATACCTTAGCGATCTGTTTGGCTCCCTATATATAAAAGATCAAAGTTCGGCTAGGCGGCGACTACGCGCGCCTAGTCGCTGGGCGAAGCCCGTCGCCACGACTAGGGGCATAGTCTCGCATCGCGGCGCTAGGCGGCGCGGAGGGCGGCCAAAGGGGCCTGGAGCTGGACTGTTGGAGGGCAGGGGCCGCCGACGCCGGGCTCGAGCCAGCTGGAGCTGGAGCCTGGAGGGTAGGGACGGCCGGCGCGGCGCTCTGCGGTGGTGTGGCCCGCACCCTGCGCCTGCGGGATGCCGGGGCCAGGATGGGATGGGCGCCTGGGCAGCGGCGCGGCAGGAGGGCTTGGTGCGCCGCGGAATGGCGTGCGGCGCAGCGCTGTCCGGCTAGGTGGCGCCGACAGGCGGCTGGCAGGCTCCTCGCCTCCTCCCGTGCGGCGGTGCGGGTGCGGCTGCGGGCGCGCGCTCGTGCGAGGGACGGAGGGAGGCGGATAGGAGCAGAGGCGGAGGGTTAGGTTTGCTGTTGCCTGGGCCTTCATTATTGGGCTGAAATTACATGGGGTATGTGGTGTTGATGGCCCAACGACTAGGGCCTGGGCCCTAGAGGCCTGGGCTGCAGATCCGCCCCTGGTGTTGTGCACTTGTATTACTGTCTTATCCATTTGTATTGTAATTACCAGCTGCTGATATGGTGTGCTCATGGATGGGAGGCTGCTGAAATCATCCAGATAAGTCACAACTTAGTGTTTTCTATTTTTTTTTATGAACAGCTAGCTATCTATTGACTAATTTACTAACTACTAGCTGTCAAAATGTGTTGCAGGAGCTAGGAACATGCAAGAGTAAGCCAGCTATGAATCAGATATGTCTACTGGACCTCTTTTTATACTTACTGTGACTCATATATAGTAGTTATATACATATATATAGTTATATTCATAATATATATATAAGTTATGGCTATATTGCCAAAACGCCTAGGAGCGCCTAAGACCGAGTACTCCCGACTAGGCGCTAGGCAATGGGTCAGCGCCTAGATTCCGCCTAGCGTCTAGCTGAACTTTGTAAAAGATATACGCCAAGGTTGTTTCACCTTCTCTGTGATTATTGTATCAATATGATAGTTTGAGAATTTTTGAATGGACAAAATCACATTGTTCTTCCAAAACAGCCCTAGCCCTCCACTCCTTCCAGAACTTTTGACAGCAAAACTATCATCGAAACCCAGAGTGTACCTTAAGTTTTCCACTTGGTATTTGTCAATTTGTGTTTCCATTATGAACAACACCGAGGGGGCATAATCCTTCGCAACATCGCGAAGTTCCTTTACTGTCGCGGGATTGCCAATCCCACGACAGTTCCAGCTTAAAATTTTCATTGCTCCCAGCGGTACTCCTCTAGGGAGCCCGCCGATCCCATCTCAATATCACCGAGAGAATTTTCCCCATTCTCAATTCTCAAACGTTTTTTGCCACGTCCATTCAAATCTTCATTGTTCTCATAATTATTTTGATCTGTACCAGGCAACAAAGGACACCCCCCTTGTTCACACAGCTAATCACCAATCCCTTCTTGCTAGATGCCGGTACAAGTGCCCAGACCATATTATCAGAAACTTGCTTTTCAGTCTTCCCAAAAGAAAGACGTTTCTGATCCTCTCTTCCATTATACTTCTAATCTTCAACATCTCCCTTCAAAGGACTTCTTACATCATCTCTTAGTTCAGCCTCATCACCACTAGAATCTCTCTGGCTGCTACCTCCACTTTTAGGCTCTGAATTTCTTTTTTGGAAAGAAAATTTGCCCGGCTCTCTAGAATCAGATCCTTTTGTATCTGTCGAGCCAGCAGATTTACTACCTTTCATTTTCCCTTTGTTCTCAGGACTAGCAATCAACCAATCCCCATATTGAAAATTCTTCTTGTCATGCATACCATCACCACACTCAAAATCACACACAGCACAAAACTTTGGAAGTTTCTCATACTTAACACAAAAAGCTTCTCGATTACCATTTCTAACTGAAATGTACACAACCCTGGTCAAAGGTTTATCCAGATCTAACTTTACTCTGATGTGCAAATAGTCCCTTCGCCCAGAAATATCTTCATCTAAATCTACTTTCAGGAAATGACCAATTTTGTTCCCTAATTGGCGTCCTATATTCTTAGTCCTGAACCCTGTAGGCAAGTCATAGATACGAACCCATACATTTAAGTTCTTAAATTTCACCTTGGAGGGCTTAGTAATTCCATCATATTCTTCCAGAAGGATAACATGCCCTCTAAAAATCCATGGACCCTCATCCATCACCTTCCGCCAATCTCCCAGACAGAAAAAATTGTATCACAAACAAATTTTCTTCAATGGCTTTAAAACTGGCATCCTTTGCCAAGCTCCAGGCATATTTCATATTAGCAATAAAAGCAGCATGGCTGAAGGTTTTGGGAGAACTAACCTTCGCTAAGGCCGTCCATCGCGCCTCAGCTTTCAGTTCCTCCAGGTCCTCTTCCAGCACTATTCCTTGGTCCTCATCCTCCCTTATCTGCAAGTGCTGGATTAAATCATCTAAATCACCTTCTATTTTTCTTCCTGATTGCATTTCTGAGATGGAATCGGCCATCCCCAATGGCACTGTTCACCAGCTCCCAGTACGCAATCAAGGCCGAGAAGCAAACCCAATGTTTGCCCTTTAATCAGCCCGAATCGCGATAGGGAGGTGGAGCAATAAAGATCTCCTTTGATTGGAGGGAGATTTAGGAGGAACTCGCGCTAAGGATTCAGCGGGAGTACAGGAACCTGGAGCGCACCAGGGCAGCTCTCGAATCTTCCCATCGATTGCTAGAAAACTGATAGTTGGTTCAGAATGTTTGTATGCCGGCCCTTTGCCCCTTTAGTATGCAAAAACCCCACCTCCTCTACTCTGATATGTAAGTGGGCTGGGCCTAGGCCACGGTCAGCTGTGGCTTGAACCTTCTTCTGACCCAACGAATGCAGAAAGCCCAAATAACTCCATCCAATGGCCTTATTAGGTACGGAGTAGATTGGAAAAGAAGATTATGGGCCGAGATTTCTTTGGTGCTCCTTGACGTTTCTTGCACCTGAAATATAATAGTTGGTGCTCCTTGGTGTTTCCTTCTTATATATGTCGTGCTCCGAACCTTGGGTAGAGGTTTTGTATTCGATCGTACTTGTTGAAGAAGAGCATTTTCTCTCTATTTGTTAAGCCTCTATTTGTCAGACAACGTGTGGCAACTATGTGACAGATGAAGTCTACATCATAGTATGAAACTTGTATTAGCGACATTCTTGTGCATTTTCATATGTAGGATATGATATTTTTACTGATCTATTATGTTTATCTTACAAAATATTCAATCTTGCCAATGTTGTGCTTTGGGTTCATTGGGATTTGGGAATGACCCGGTGAGCATCTTGGCCCCATTGTTGTTTGGGAGAAAATTGCTTCCTTTGTTTTAAAATATACAGGATTTAAAAAATATACCAATAGCCCTGTTTGGTAGAGCTCCAGGTATAGAAAATTGTAAAGTGCTTGAGACTAGATATTTAGGCTAGTCTCAGTGGGGTTTCATAACACACCCATATTTTGGAAACAGTGTAGAAGAGTTTCATCCGCCGAAACTTTTCTACTCCCATGAAACTTTTATCATCTCTCTTCATCAATAGTGCCATGTCAGCATAATGTCCACGAAACTCTCATGAAACCCCAATTGAGATTGGCCTTATACCTCCCAGAAATCTTGGGTCGAGAGGTGGAGGCACGTCAAGAGCATTTAAATCAATCATTTTGATTATAGTTTAGATTAAAGATAAAATTTTAAACCACTTTAATTTAGCCTATAAACTAGAGAGACAACTTGAATGTCACAGGTTAAGTTGTGCTAAATAGGCCCGGTTGTTAATCTTGTTTTTGAGTGATATAAGGCGTAATCACATCTGGTTCAAAGACAAGAACGTCTTATATATTATGACAGAGGGATTAGAAACTTAAAGTATGATGCAAATAAAAAATCTTATCTTACATTTATGAACAGTCGAGTAAGCTTAGGGCTTCTTTCTGCCATTCCCCCTATAGCCAGTGCCGGCCCTAAGGGGGGGCAGGAGGTGCGATGGCCGGGGGCCTAGGCGGGATGGGGGCCCAAGCCCAAGTATATAAGCCCAAATATATAGTGTCAAAAAAAACGAAGCCCAAAATAGACTTGCAAGTTGCAACGTTGTAGAGGCATCAGGCATCAGGCATGTCTGCAGACTGCAGGCCCGTCGGCCTCTTTTCAGCAGGAGGCCAGGAGCCATTGGCCTCTCTGTCTCTCTGCCCTTTTTGTGATCACGCACTCACGCAGACTTCCGCCGGCGCCGATCGAGCCGCAGCCGCTCAGACTTCTAGTCTTCCAGGATAGTCCGCAAACGGCGAGACGCAGCGCCGATCCAGACGCAGCCCCGCACAGGCAAACAGCGAGACGCAGGGATCGAGCGATCACCACGCGACAAGGCAGCCGAGGGCCCGAGGCAGGGCTCGACGAGGACGACGAGTCAACAACATCTGAAGATTTATCTCGGTTATTGCCTTCTGTCCTTTCTGTGATTTGTGAATCTTGGTTCTGAATCAGTTCATGTCTAAATTGTCTAGGCCCTAGGGTTTTTTTCTTGTTTAAATTTTGTCTAGTATTGTGTACTCATATAGTCATGTTTTTCTTGTAATTTAGGTCAGGTGTAAGAATTTTAGAATGTTACCTATGAAACATTTGTCAGGGGCTGCGAAAAGAAAACGAAAAAGACAAGAAGAACAGTTTGTTCAGTCACAACAAGGTGCTTTAGATAAGTTTTTTTCAGCTTCAAGTAGTGTTGTGCGTGATGACAACCCTATAGATGCACCTAATAATCAAGAAGAAGAGCAACAACAAGTTAATGATAATTTAAGTGAACAAGTTGATGCTATGGAGAATAAAAATTTACAGCCTTTCTCTCAACCTGAAAATTCAATTGATGATGTGCAACCTTCTATTCATGATGTATTTGATCTCAGAACTTGGGAGAATCTTGATAATAAGGGTAGAGATATTTTGATTGAAAAAGGACCAGTGAGAGAATTGAATTTTGAGTTCCCTGTAGATGCTCACAGTAGACATTTTTCATATGCTTACTACTCCAGAAAGTTAAGCAATGGTGAGGTGGTTGATAGAAAATGGTTGGTTTACTCTAAACATGGGGACAAATTTTTTTTGTTTTTGCTGCAAATTATTCAAATCAGATCAGAACAAAAGTTTGGTAGCACACGATGGGCTGAGGGACTGGAAACATCTTGGTTTAAGACTCAAGGAACATGAGAATAGTGCTGAGCATATAAGAAACATGAATACTTGGAATGAACTTAGGCTGAGGTTGAGCAAAAATAAAACAATTGATGATGAGTTGCAACGAGAAATTGCAAAGGAGAGAGAGCGTTGGAGACAAGTTTTAGTAAGAATCGTTTCTGCTGTCAAGTTTCTTGCTAAACATAATTTGGCTTTCCGAGGGCAAAATGAAAAACTATATCAAGCTAACAATGGTAACTTTCTAGACACAGTTGAAATGATGGGTGAATTTGATCCTGTGATGCAAGACCATATTAGACGGATTCAAAATAGTGAGATTTATCATCATTACCTTGGGCATAAAATTCAGAATGAGATTATTTCTCTTCTTGCAGATTGTGTAAAACAAACTATATTAAAGATCATTAAGGATGCCAAATATTTTTCTGTGATTTTAGATTGTACTCCAGATGTGATCCATGAAGAACAAATGACTCTAATTATTAGGTGTGCGGATATATCGGGGAATGTTCCAAGGGTAAAGGAGTTCTTCCTAGAGTTTTTGAAGGTTGATGACACATCAGGATGGGATCTTTTTAATGAATTAAAGAGTGCATTGGCCTCTCTTGGTTTGAATATTGATGATGTGAGGGGTCAAGGGTATGATAATGGTTTAAATATGAAGGAGAAACACCAAGGTGTTCAGACGCGCTTGCTTGAAATTAATCCAAGAGCACTATATATGCCGTGTGCATGTCATAGTCTGAATCTTACTCTTTGTGATATGGGAAAATCTTGCAGGTAAACTATTATTTCTTTTATATGTTATATATTGTTTTCATATAATATGTCATTATTTGGGATTTTACTATTTGTGATATTTGAAATCTTGCAGGCAAGCTATTTTTTTTTTGGCATTATCCAACATATATACACCCTTTTTGCAAAATCTACCAAAAGGTGGAAGATTTTGGTTGACAATGTCCCAGGATTGACAGTTAAGTCATGGTCTAATGCTCGCTGGGAAAGCCGAATAAAAAGTGTTCAAGCTATCAGATTCCAAACTCCTCAAATAAGATCAGCTTTAATAGCGCTAGAGAAGACTTCAACTGATGACCCAATGGCAGTTAGTGAATGTCAATCTTTGGTGAGTGCACTTGAGAATTTTGAATTTATAGTTGGTTTAGTTATCTGACACGATATTTTATTCTCTATAAATAAGGTTAGCAAGAAGTTGCAATCTAAAATTGTGAGTATAGATACTACTCTCAAACACATTGAAGGTGTCATATCATATATTAAGAAGTATAGAGACGAAGGTTTCACTTCTAGTATGGATACAACAAAAAACATTGCATCTGAATTGGATATAGAGCCAATATTTCCTACAAAACGTCAACGAAAGAGAAAGAAACATTTTGATGAACAAGATGACCAAGACGAGTAAATACAACAGTCTGTTGTGGACTCCTTTAGAAGAGAGTACTTCCTAGTTATGATTGATTCTGTAATTGCTTCATTGACTAGTAGATTTGAGCAGATGACAGCATTTGATAATGTTTTTGGGTTCTTGTTCAACTCAGAAAATTTGAAATCCTTGGATGAAGCTGATCTTTGGTTGCACTGCAAGATTTTTGTGGAAAAATTTTCTCATGATAACTCATCCGATGTTGAGATCAATGATTTTTTCAGAATTAAAGGTGTTGCAAGTGACTTTACCAGATTCTTTGATGTCGGCGCCAGAGATTCTAAAGTTTGTTATGGATGAGATTGCTATCCAAATATTTCAGTTGCCTATCGAATTCTTTTAACTGTACTTGTGACTGTAGCTTCAGCCGAAAGAAGTTTCTCAAAATTGAAGTTGTTGAAGAACTATTTGAGATCAACTATGTCACAAGAAAGGTTAAATGACTTGGCTATGTGCACCATCAAGAATGATATCTTAGACACTATTGATCTTGATACCAATGATTTTGCATCAAGAAATGCCCGAAGAAGTATCTTTTTATAAGAAGCAGTGGATATGATGGAGTTCTATTTTTCTTTAAGGTAATCGTATTAGTTCTAAAAGTACAAATATGTTGCTCTTTTAGTCTACGTTGTTTCTCGCTCTCGATAATTATAAGACATATTAAATTAAAAATATATTATTGGAGTTGCTTTCCCTATACAAGTAAAATTAGTCTATATATTCTAACATTTTATGGTCTAGAGAAGCTGTCGCGACGAGTTCGCCAGAGGGCCCTCAGAATCATAGGACCGGCGCGGCCTATGGCCGCTAAGTGTGCCCTATTGGCAACCATATGGCCGT